CCCCAAAACCCCAAAACCCCAAAACCCCAAAACCCCTAGTTCTATGATTTTTAAAAATTAAAAGTTAGAATAGATAAGAAATAATTAAGAATATTAGTACATACTACTACTTCATCATTTAAAATTATAAAGTAAAGATAGAATTAATTAAAAAATGCCTAAATATACTAATCTTGGGAACGTAACATACCTTTCTGTAGGAATCCTGCTTCTCTATATGGCCTAAAATAGCTCCGCCAATATATAATCAGTAATAATGGAAGAAAATGGATTTGAACAACTCGGATTCTTTATTCTAGCAGTACTCTATTTTTTCATGGGAATGGGTAGTTTGCTTTCAACAGCGATAATTAATAAATATGGAACAAGATTCTGCCTTGTGATTGGAGGGGTCGGAAATGTTTAATGGATTGTAAGTACTCTGCTAGCAGTTTATAGAGAAAGTATCTTAGCCGAAGGGGTTCCAATTGGAATTATTTATTGCGGCTTGTTGTTATCAACAGTAATCAATGGTTTTACAGTCGGAGTGCTCTGGGCTGCAGCAAACCAATATATCGCAGACTGTTCATCAGATTCAAACAAGGGCTTCTTCTTTTCATACTTCTGGTCTTTCTACATGACTTCACAAATATTTGGAAATTTAATTGCTGCATTTGTACTAGGCCATTTAGAGCAGGATAATTACTTTGAAATTATGGCAGGTGTAGCTTCACTTGCGACATTAACTTTTTTCTTTTTGAAAAGGCCTTAACCAGTAGGTCTACAATTCAGTATTAATGCTTTACGCTTGGTTGAAGACTCAAATGACTATACACATCCTTCATTTGTTAGTTCTAGCATCTACAGTACATCCTAGCCAACATTCTGGTCAGATATAAAAAGTGTATTGATTTTACTGGTATCTAAAAAAATGAGACCATTAGTACCATAGCTGTGCTGGACTGGCGTAAGCATTGCTGTTTACACCGGAATCCTTCTACCTATTATAACTGACACTTTGGATGATAAGGATACATCGCATAAATTTGAACTTTCAATGCTTGCTATGGTTTCATTAGGAGTTGGAGAAATAGTTGGTGCCATAGGAATGGGGATGATTGTAGATAAAATTGGATCTAAAAAATCTTGCTGGGTAAACATATTTTTAGTAATTCTACAAACATTGGCAGTTTTGCTATTTCTATATATTGACGAGTATAATTGGATTGCATTTATGATGACCTTTCTTTGGGGTGTATAAGACAGTAGCATAAGTATACATTTGGATGCCATTCTAGGATTTGAGTTTGAAACTAATAAAGAACCATTTGCTTGTGATATTCTTATGGAGTCCATCACAGCTTTTTCATTTGAGATTTTACAATCTTTCATGAAAACAAAATATCAAAGAGTGATATACATCTCTGCAGTTGGTGGAATTGGAGTGTTCTGCACCCTGAGTTCATTCTTCTTTGAATACAAACCTGATGCCATTCATGTAAGAGACAGCGGTAGAATACATAGAAAATCATTCATTCTCAACAGAGCTCCCGAGGAAGTTGAGAGTATAGATTCAATTACTGATCCAAATGTATATCTTATTTCATCTTGAAAATAAACTCAATCACACTTATATGAAGAGTATATATTATCATCACACTAATCTTAATTTATTATGAAATCACCTATTCTAATCTATTTTGGCATAAAGGGGTTTTGGGGTTTTGGGGTTTTGGGG